TATATATATATATATATATATATATATATATTCGTCTCCAACAGATTTTCAACAGATTTTCATCTCGCAGAATCCAACATTAATTATAATATTAAAATATTTCATTTATCTTTTAAAATATTACTTTTCTGTTAAAGTTTTCTATTTCCATTAGTAATATTTTTTAGGAGGAAAAAGTATTATTGTTTGGATATAATTTTTAAATTATACATTTGAAAATTATACATTTGTTGGCAAACTTTTATATTTTTATTGAAACATGGGATTTAAGGGTAATTTTGGAAAAAAAATCTTAGCATCTGGTCAAAAGATAATTTTTTTAGCTTAATGTATTAAGATAAGATGAGCAGATTTACTATGTTAAGTCCATCTCTTAATATTAAGACAAAGTAAAACACTATGGTGTAACTCAATTAAGTTAATCATCCATTAAGTTTATTAAGTTAAGAACAAACATCCCCTGAGTGGTCATAACGATTAAGAGGCTTTTTAGAACATCTTTTTAGCAGATTTTTCAAAATTTCTCCATGATCAAAATTCCAAATCTCCAAAAACAAATTACATTCATTCCAACAATTTTCCATTTTAGAGATTACAACATTGGTTATATTATTAAGATATTCCATTACATTTAAAAAAAATATTTCTTCATAAAAATATTTAATTTTGAAGTTTTTTTTATTAAATATAATAAAAAATATTTTTCTCACGGTAATTATTAGTGACGAATTCTTCAAATTTGGAGAATTTCACGTTTTTTCTTCTACTTTCTCTCTAAGGAAAGGTTTAGAGAATCTATTGTAGCAAAAATTGGCCTAAATTCACCATTTTCTCTACTTCGGAGAATTTGTTACAGATGCTTTCATTGACTACGTACAGGTCTAAATGATATAAAATTACTATTTTACCCCTGTATCCTTACATCTGAGCCATTCAGTGTGAGGTTTGAATGACATCATTGGAAGCTAACAGTTCTTTACTTTTTCATTCGTAGGATCCTTTTAGAAGAATAACTTTATGGAATCTTCTACTTTTTAATGTCGGATTAATCCCTTGATAATTGTTTTAGATCAATGATTTCAACCTTTTTTACTTATTAGTGGTCTTGAATCTTACTTTCTGTAGTCTTCCATGTGACTGATTTGGATGGCAAGAAATTAACAGACAACACCATCATCAATAGCATTGAACAGGTAAACTTACATCAGGCTGATTGGTTGGTTTTTCCATCAAATCGTATATGGATCAAACTATTTGTATGGATTAATCTGTCTATATAGATTGAGAGGTTTTGTTTCTGAGGGTTTTTTCATAGATGGAAAGATGGTATTTTTTTAATTGCGAGGGGAAGGTTCGGAAAAACTTGGCTTTTTGCATAAAGCTTCTCCAAAAGTTTAGTGAATAAGCTACTTTCTATATCATTAAGCCACTACCAAACAGTTATATATAGCTGACTGAATAAGTTCCGAGTCCCATTAAGCTTATTAAGTTGCTAACAGACAAACTTTAGTCTTAATTGAAATCTAGTAAAGAACAACTTTAGGAGAAGACATCTCTCAAGATTTTGGAGATATGCATATATCGGCAATTTTATTCCCAGAACTTGACTAAAATAGCCGATCTCTCCAACCAAATTCTCTTTTTAGCCACTTTTCAATCGAATTCCCATTTGCGTAAATATTTTCTTTAATCTGAAATTAGGCTTTACGCATTTTCAATCGAATTCCCATTTGTGTAAATATTTTCTTTAATCTGAAATTAGGCTTTAATCTAATTATGCCCTTCCATTTTATTTAAATGACCAAAAAACCCTATCGTTTTAGGTAAGTTTTACATTGTCATTTAGCTTATCAGCCAGTTCCTACCAAGCGTAAGCTAACAATTAGCTTGTTATCCAACTAGTTTTTCAGCTAACAACTAACTTATCAACTGATTTGTCAAACCATAGCCTCTTTTAAGTGATGTATGTGGACTGATTATACGTTTGGTTGTTGTGTACGTATGACAGTCATTTGAAACCATCCACAACACGAGATCGAATCCCATTGATGGAATGACTGCACTCGAATTAACCGGCACTGACAGAGTTGGTCTTTTATCCGAGGTTTTTGCTGTGTTGTCCGATCTCAATTGTGATGTGGTCGAGTCGAAAGTTTGGACACACAATGGCCGAATCGCGTCTCTTATTTACTTAAAAGACACCGATTCCGGGTGTCCAATTGAGGATTCCGACAAGATTGATTTAGTCAAAGCTCGTTTAAGAAACGTGCTTAAAGGGGAGAATGATATCAAAAGTGCAAAAACTTCGGTTTCAATGGCGGTCACTCACACAGAGAGAAGGCTTCATCAGATGATGTTTGCAGACCGTGATTATGCAAGAAGTCCGGGTTTAAAGACGTGTTTGGAGAATTCCCCCTCGGTTTCGATTCAGAATTGTTTGGATAAAGGTTACTCGGTTCTGAACGTTCAATCCAAGGATCGACCGAAGCTTTTGTTCGATGTCGTTTGCACTTTGACTGACATGCAATATGTCGTCTTCCATGCCACCATCAACACTACAGAAGATGGGGCACATCTAGTACGTATTCATATCCTTTTATAAAAAATAAACCAGCCCGTTATATCTTATCTGGATGTAGGGTTTGGGGGGTGGGATGCACACCCCTCTACCCTCAAAGAGTAGAACAACAGTTTCCGTATTTATATCCTTCTTAGGGGCTGTTTGGTTGGTTTTTCATTAAGTCCAGTATGGGTAAAGTTGTCTTTGTTGATTAATTTATCTGTATAGATTGTTAGACTTCTGATTGGGAGGTTTTTTTATAGATGAAAGGAGTGTTTTTCAATTGGGAGGGGTAGGTTTGGAAAAAAACTTGTCTTAATGCATAAAACCTCCCTAGAAGCTTTTACTGAATAAGCCACTTTCTATATCATTGAGCCACTACCAGGTAGTCATGTATAGCTGACCAAATTAGCTGTGAGTCCTATTAAGCTCGTTAAGCTGTTGACAGACAAGACCTTAAGCTTGGAAAAATCTTCCAAAGTCATCCATTTGAAAGGGTGGGTTCAAAATAAATATTTTGAGAACTGTGAGAATGACTATATGCATTGATCGTTGTAAATTATATGAATTTATATTGGGTACATATACATTGATGATACTAATTGGCAAGACATATTTTGCTAGTGTATATGGGTCGATACATATATATACACATCTAATGGTTTTACAAAATATTTATGGTTCTTATTTGAACTTCCCACTTTCTTATATCCCGGGGGCGGTTGGTTTGGGGTTGCGATGTATATAAACCTAGTGTTTACCCTAAAAGAGTAGAGCGGTTGTTTTCGGGATTAATAGGCTTAATGGGAGAAACAGCTTACTCGGTCAGTTATACATGACTGTGTGGTAATGGCTTAATGATATAGAAAGTGACTTACAATAAGCTTCTAGGGGGGAGCTTTATGCGGAAAGCCAAGTTTTTTCCAAACCTACCCTTCCCAAATAAGAAACACATTCCCTCCCAAACAAAAACATTCAGAACCGATACAGACAGATTAATACAAACATACAACTTTATCCATGCATGACTTAATGGAAAACCAACCAAACAACCCATAAGCTTTGAAAAACCTTCCAAAGCCATCAGTTAGTTTGGATCGGATTGACCAATATTGCTCAATTGTATTCAGGAATTCTTTATTAAACACATGGATGGAACCCCAATTCGTTCAGAAGCCGAAAAGGAACGAGTTATTCTATGTTTGTCATCCGCCATCGAACGAAGAGCATCCGAGGTACCATTGTCAATCTCCTCATACTCGAAAATGCAGTTAAATTTACCAAAGGGTCATTGGCCCAACAATACCCGGTTCCTATAAAAGAACTCGGGTTCCCGGTAGAACCCGGGCTCTCTCTGAAGGTCAAGGGTTCAAATCTCACTTGTGTACGAGTATTTGTTGTATATAAATATTATATACTTCAAAAAAAAGAAAAGAAAAATGAAGTTCAGTTGGTAACTAACATGCGCTAGTTCAGGGTGTAAGGCTCGAGCTACGAAAGGCCGACAAACCAGGGCTGTTAGCGGAAGTTATGCGAACATTTAGAGAGAACGCGTTAAATGTGATCAGGGCCGAGATATCAACTAAAATGGGTACGGCACTAAACATGTTCTACGTAACGGATGCGATCGGGAACCGGGTAGATTCGAAGGTGATCGACGCAGTTCGACAACGAATCGGGATGGTTGACCTAAGAGTAAAAGAAGCAGGGCATGAAGATGAAGAAATCAGAGGTACTCTTGGTGGTGCAGTTTTGGTGTCACTTGCGAGTTTATTAAGAAAGAACTTGTACAATTTGGGATTCATGAAATCATATTCTTGAAAACTTCTTTCCTTTTTTAGTAACCGTGAGTGTTTGAGTATGTTTGTATCCATCTCGATTAATTTCATGAGTCACTGGAAATAACAATCAGAAAAATCTGTATTAGGTCAGTGGAAAAACAATTGTTTTGTTTTTTTTTTTTTAAATTTCTTTAGGGGGTTGTGTATTTTGTACATTGAAGTGTGTTTTTTAAGTAGCATGTGAAATATTGTAAATATAGTTGAAGTTTATCCTTTTGTACAAACCGATTCATCGGTCGATTCTTGGATCGGTTTTCGGTCGGTGTTGATTTTAACCTTGAGTTTTTGTGAACTGTTTTTTTGTAATCAGTGTGATTTTTTAAAAGAAAGAGCAAAGAATGACGGACCGATGTTTTTATTCGGTCCACCTGTTTCATATTAGAAGCAGGTCAAATTATGCATTGTAAATGTAAAAAATAAGTTTTGATTCACGAGACTTTGTCCAGCGATCTGAAGACGCAGCCATAGGATTGTTGGCACACTTTTTTGGCTGTTATGGTCGTTTTCTTATTCTATTAAATAGTGAGCATTCTCGTTGATTCTCTCCCCATGTATATAAGCATAAATAATAAACTTGTATACATCACTTATCAGTGTCAAATAATCAAAATCTTATAGCTCATATATCACTTCCTCATAGAGAATCAAAACTGTATAGTTCTGATACCACTTGATAACTGGTATCCAGTAATAAAAAACTGTACAACTTTGATATTTTCGTTCGTTGTCTATCTCGGTCTACAATTATTCCGTATCATAATTTTCAACAAATGATCAGAATTACAATTGGTATATGCCATGCCAAAACCTAATACTTAGCAATTGTTTTAAAGTAACAATTCACATGTGAATATAGAACTCATATATAACGTGTTTAACTTCTAACTAAATTTCATGTCGCGTTACAAATACAAATACGATGTAAACCTAACTGTAGATTTTTCTTCAAAAACGTAAGTTGACTTTGTATGTATATTTACCATCTCCATTGACTTTTTATTTCCTTCGACTCGTATTTACTATACTGTGGAGGCATATTCGAAGCCACACAAACACCGAGAGCCCGAGCTTCTTTCACCTTTGATGCATCTATCTTGCACTTATGGATCCTCCCATGGTTTACTATTCTTCTTCCAATGCATTATATATCATCCTATAACGACAAGAAAAGAATCAGATACATTGGTTTCATTTTCTTGCTTGCTTTTTTTTGGGTCCCATTTTCATGTTCTTCCATACAACATGAAAATGGGACCCACAAAAACGAGGCAACATTGACCTGACAAATTTGGAACCCTAAACAACCGTTGCATATATATCATATTCCCAAAATACGATGATAAATAGGAGAAAATGGTATCAACCGCTTGTAGTTACAAGCTTTCAAAAAGCCCGTTTTTTGCTTGAGGGTCCCATTTTGTTTGGAAAAACAAAAGAGAAAGCCCAACATTCTAATAGACGCTGAAGCAGAACTTGAACTGAGTCGAGCTTTTAACGAGCTACTCGAGCTCGAGATTAATAATTTTCAAGTTCACGTCGGTCCCAAACACAAAATAAAGCTCACTTAACTTAATCAGTCGAGCTCCATAACACTAATATTCGACTCGACTCGACTCGTACGAAAGCTCGATTAACCTTTACGAGTCGAGCCATTCGAGCATATATATTTTTTGAGCCAAACATATTTATATGTTTACAAATTATATAATAAAAATAAAAATATCAAACTTGAGTTTGTAAACGAGTTAATCAATCTCGAGCTCATAAACGAGCATCAAGCTCAAGCTCAAACATTGAAAAAATATTCGAGCTTGAGCTTGAGCCCTACTTTGAAAAGGTTAATCAAGCTCGAGTCGAGCTCATGCATGATATTAATTACTCGACTTGACTCGGATCGGCTCGTTTACACCCCTACCCTCAACTATATCTGCCGATTAGATTAAAAATGGTTGTAGTATGTTATATTACCAAAATAAGGTGATGAATAGGAGGAAAATGAGATGACCGAGTTTTAAAAGCCGTTGCTTCTTCGCTCCATTGAGTTGGTTGAAGATCTCGGTGACGTCCACAAGGTGTTCCCCCCGTGAATACCTAGAATCAAGTAACCATAACGATGATAAAAGATCTTGCGAATTCAAATCAACATCAACTTTTTGCAGAAGTGAAAAATGTCGGGATTAACCACTTGGGTTGTGGCGCACAGGTTAAGGCTCAGGGGGTTGTATTGGAAATCTCATATTTCGTGGGTTCGAATCCAGGCCCTGTGAAAACCATTGTGGCCATGGAGGTTCACTTGCAATGACTCCAATGACTCTAGAACATTCGTGGTTGCCTGGGGGATTAATGGGTTTGTGTAAGCTGGCCCGGAAACCTATGTTTACCAAAAAAAGTGTTGGGATGGAGAACTTACAATCGGATATTGTAATAGAGGTATGGCAGAGCCAAAATAAACATCATCCAATGGCCGGTTACGAGATACAAGCAGCATAAGACGCCTTGTGTGACAAATTCCGGCAAGATCACATCATTTATCCGAGATGCGGAGTCGTACGGATTAATGTAATCGAACTCTAAATCAGCAAAACATATAAGCTGCAAACACAAAGACATCAAAACATCAATGTTTTGCACGACAGATGTTAAAAGCTAAAAACTAAGAAATGATACAAAGGGGATTCGAATCCAAACCAGTTCTATCAAAGAAAACTTGTGTTATTACTGTAGTTTCAAGGAATATCTGGTTACACCCAACAAATACAATGACACCTTTCATGAACCTAAAGCAGGTGGTCGCCCTAGGATTAGTCGGCTCGCAAAGATTTTTACGCTAAGACGGAGGAACTAAGTAGGGGCACAGTATGCACCAGAGTGGGTCCGCCCCCGGTGGTTGGAGGGCAATGAGCTCAAGCCTACAAACACTCAAGGAATGATCTGATCGCTCTTGATTGTGATACCAAAAACAAATTGAACAACAATGTGAGGACAACGATCAGTGGATAATAGTTTCTGGAATCCTTTATAATGAATTTCTTAAATAATCAAATGGATCTGTCATAATTCATAAACAAATAGTTCGGAATCGAATCTAATTGTTTGTAGATCACAATTTCTCCCAAATATCAACCAATATCTCAATCGATCTGCCATAACAAACATTTTTACAGACGAAATATCTAATGAAGAACATACAATAAGAAGAATCTAGATTCTAGAATCGATTATCTAGATTCGCACATATTATGAACATGAATACATTCGTACACTAAATTAATTAGACCAAAATTAGGGTTTTGATAATAACCTGATAAACAACGATAACGAGGATAGCTATGAGGATGAAGAAGAAGAGTAGCCATGCAAGCGTATCCCACATCTCAAATCCCTCTTTTCCTCCTCTCTCTATATTATTTACTAACCTATTTTGTAACAAAAGAATGGAGGAAACAGGAATCAATTTCTGCAGAATTTACGATGAATTGACGAAAATCTGATGATTGGGAAGCCGGAAAATTGAGGAAGAAAGTTTCGCCGGGTGATTGAATCGTTTAGGGAAAATCGTATTTCTCCCCGCCGGCGAGTTTTCCCGGAAGATACAGGAGGATTCCGATGATCAAACAACAAAGAAGGAGCAGAGTGACGAAGGAATGATCGAACCCATGAATGGGTGGTTTTTGTTCATTTAAATATTTTTATATTATTTCATAGTTTTGAGAACTTGTGTATAATTTATTATTTTATATGATTAAAAAATTATAATTTAAAATTATAATTAATATATATTTGTTTTACATGTACCTGGTTTATAATGTGAACCATTTTTACGTGTTTCTAAAACAAAAATACACGTAAAAAAGTCTACATTGTGTACCGAATACATGTAAGACAAATACATTGTAAAATATATATATATATATATATAGGGTATATTTCTTTTACAACCTTGTGCATTTGTATAACCTTTGCAACCCAATTAATTGAGATATTTATAGAAATGATTGAAGTTTATTTATTATGATTTGAATATTTATGGAATATGAATAGAGTTTATTAATTATGATTAATACTTTATATTAGGAAACAATTAATTGATTAAAAATTGAATGGTTGAGATGAGGGTTGTATAGGGTGTAGGAATGACAAAGGATGTAGAATAACATCCCTCTCTCTCTCTCTCTCTCTATATATATATATATATATATATATATGTTAATGAATACATTAAACACAATATTTAGAAATTATTATTAGAGTTCTCAAATATTTAAGAGTAAATTCCAAAAAGAAGTATCTATGAAATTTGAACACTTCTTCGTTCAATACCCTACAATTTGCATTTTATTACAGATCTCGTTCTTGACCGTACCAACTGTATAGTGTCCCTCGCTTATTAGTCATGGACAGTGTGGTCTTTTCTCATTTTTATTCATTCAGTCTTAAAATAAGTGATAAAAAAATATATGGTTTAAAAAATGAATTAAATGACAGTTTTATCCTAATAATATAATTAGTAAATAACAGTCAAAAACCATGAAAAAGCCAATGATTATAGTTATAAATATAATGATTAATTTATTGACTTTCATATTTTTTTTGTTCATGTTATCATCCTCAAAATTGTTGATATGTTACAATGAATCATTTTAATAGATAACTTAAACCATCACTAAATAAATCTCTTCAGAAATATTAAACAGGACACTCTTTTTTTTATTTACCGAATATATAAAAAATTAATTTTTTTTCTATTTTTCATACAAAGTCTACACATACAAAAACCATATTTTATTTATATTATTATTTAAACAAACACTTAAAATGATGTTTATATATTTGAAAACAAATAAAATGTGATATTCATGTGGTATTTGTAAGTGTATTTATTTGCTTTTAAAAATATTGAATGAGAAAAAAACGGAATAGAAAACGAAAGGTCTAGAACATTTGTGAGTTATTAAAGATAATTAATATAACCAACAAAATAAATCTAAAAATTTATAAAAAAATAAATTATATATATAGATAGATAAAAAACAGAATAGAAAACGAAAAGTCTAGAACATTTATGAGTTAATGAAAGATAATTAATATAATCAACAAAATAAGTCCAAAATAAATCCAAAAAATGAATTATGAAATAATTTTTCTACAAAGTGTCACATAAGAAACTTCATATTTTACTTTTAGATTTATATAAAATAATGATGTCAAATGCTCAATTAAGGACATCTCTTGCTTGAAAAATTTTGTTTTCATTTTGGAGAAAATAATGAAATACACATTTTTCATTCACGGGTAAAAAAATATTTAACTTATTTAACATTTCATAAATTAAAAACAATAAGAAAATCTCTTGAGAAAATCATATTGACAATGTGCCACAACATTTATTGTGAGTTTATTTTAATTAGTAGATGAAAATAGTATAATGAATACCCTATGAAGTTATGTAATGTGAAAGTTAAATCTAATTAAGTTGGAAATGGTCATAGAAGTCTTTTTATAATGGAATACATATTTATCATTTAGGGGTATAATAATATAACTTATTTAATATTATAAAAACATTGACAAATAATGGAGGAGCACATGAAAGTGTTTAGCAGTTTCATCTCCAAGAATGAAGAGGAAAAAGTTGGAGGTTAAGCTTTTTAAGATTACCAAAACAACACTATTTTAATGAATTTCATGTTTTAAAATAGGGATGGAAAAGTTTTTTATATATCAAATATTTTAAAGAAATCAAAAATTTAGGAAAAAAGAAAGATAAGTTTCTAATATGCACTTATTGTATTTGGTTTCATATATATATATATATATAGAGAGAGAGACTTCTAGATAAGACAAAACAACACACAACACATGATCTACAAGAATGATGAAAGCAGTGACGTACCTTCAATAATTCGGACAGCCACGCATACCTCAATAATTCATGGCGGCCGACAAGTCACTGTGTACTTTTTGAAAAAATTCGTCTAACTTTTACTATAACAATACTGTAGCATTAACTTTTTACTGTAGCATTACTGTAGCAGTTTGAATTTTTTATAGTGGTAGGACCCGCAAATAGTTTTTTTTTTCATGTATATATAGCCGATCGAATTCATTTGTAATCCATCCGACCTTCAAGCAATAACAATCAGTTTTCATTTCCAGTATGAGTTTTTAAACTTTCTCTTTTTAGCTCCTTGATTTAGTTCTTCAATTCCTTCTTAGTTCTTCATATTATATCCCTTGCTTATAAAAATAAAAATAAAAACCTTCCAAACCTCCAAGAAACACCCGCTACAAATACAAATCTGGTGCTTCTAATTCTGCGCGCGTTGCGCGATGACAATAATTTTTTTTTAAAATTATTGAAGTTAGCTAAATGAGTCGTTGATCACATTTATATATTAAATTAATAAGAATCAATATTACCTTTGATATATGAATCCACCCACATCATTTTGATTATCCATATATTTTATACGAATTTTACAAAACAACATATTAATCCTGAATACGGTGGAAACAGCCCCGGAACACACATTGTTTCGAACCACTTAGAGTCATAACTGGTTTTTCGACTTTTCATGAAAGTTGTAGTATATAGTAAGGGCTTTCTAACTACAAAATACGAGTTTATTCTGACTTACAATTTGTGAGTTATACACTGTCAAAGTACAGAAGTTGCACTATCGGTAAAATCCAAATTCACAATTTCCCAACTAACTTTTATGATCCCAACTTCGCGTATTCAATCAAACGG